CTCTTTTACTTGGACTTTTCACACCTCATTTGATAGTAATTTTTGAAATTATGCCCTAAAGCCTCTCTAAGATCGTATAACTTAAAACTTGTGCTTTTATTAAATTACAAAAACTATTTTTTCACAAAATCCTGTTTTCATTCTTAGTTGTTATGGAGTTCTAAGAATCCATTTAAGTATTCAGATAAAGTAAAAGTTTAGGGGAATACTGTAGACACTTTAGCCGATGATTTTTTCCTTACAAGTATAGGATATATAACATATTGCAATTTAAATATTTAAGTTTAGCTTTTTCTAGGAAACTTGTGAATTTTTCAGTATGTCTGTATGTGGTTGGGTTTTCTGTTTGGTTTCTTTTTTTGATACGTCTGGAAAATCTCACAACCTATTTTCGATTGTTACAAGCACGGGTAAGTGGAAACTGTAAAAATCAAAGATTAAAGTACTCAAGGACATCAACACTGGATGATTAGGCGAAAGAAGCAAGTTGTAAGAAAGGAATTTAACCAGCAAAACAAGAGATCACTTCGTGTGTTAACAGCAGGAGACAGCTGTTGCCAGCATAGTGGGCACTGCAAAGAGGCATTAAATCTGGACTGGTAAATGGAAGTTGAAATGCACATGAAAGAAAAGTTCATTTTGCAAGGAAGCCAACACTCTTTTCTTTGTACTGAGTCCAGCACGTTTTCCATGCATTGAGAATGTGGGTGAAGTTAAAACTACAGCTTAAACTGAAACAGTGGTTTGACGTTACTGAAATGGAAAATGTCTTCTCCTTTCTTTGCCTTCTGTCTCTTCTTTGTCCCATGGTTCCTGGCCCCACGCTGCTCCTTTATGCCTCCTTGCACATCCCTTAATAGCCCACAGAGAGCTATAATTGAAAAGCCTTAGCAGAAGGGCCCAGTGAATAGAGCAGAATTTTCTGTTCATAAGCAGGAATAGACAGAGGTAACTAGTTTGTAGGTGGCAAACTGTTGGAGCTGCTCAGCTGTGAATTGCAACTGCATCCTAAATGTATGTGATCAGAACATTCAGCAAGGCTTTTGTTAACTATAGTTAATAAAAGTTAATAACTTTTGTCCTGCTCTTTACTGTCATCAACCTATTCATTGTTCTCAGAAGTTACACAGTAAGTATTCAAGGACTGTATTTAAAAAAAAAAAAAAAAGTTTCTAAACAGTTCTTTTGAATGCACTGAAAGAAGTCTTGCAATTGAAATTCAGTGAGGAAGCTTTTAATGAAATACAAATTTACTCTGCTCTAATATTTTTAATTTTAAGAGTAAATTGGTTGTTAAAGTATTTTAAATGCTGGATTTATAACTTCATTCTGCAGCTATGAAATCCATTGAATTTTTTATGTAAAAGCATGCTGGTAGTCACTTGGCTGGACTGAAGTTACTTGCTGATTCACTAAGCTCAGCTGGTAAAGTATGGTGATGGTCCGAGCTCTTCAGAATATATGGGTCCAGAATAAAAGCACTGAGTGTGCATATATTCCCATTTTACACTTGTTTAGTTCTTGTCTGTCTTATGAGATGGATCAAAAATATCAAAAGTAACAGCAGATTTTTATGGCAAAATCTTGAATAGAAGCTGAAATTCCCAATGACTTTGGCTTCCCTGTTCGCCATCTTGTTTTAAATACCTAAAGAATGCTGACATCCTCCACCCTCTCTCTCATGTCATTCTAACATGTTACTGCAATAATTTCTTTGTGCATTTCATTGTTTGCATTGTAAACCTTTCCTTGCTTTTTCCTATGGATCTGCCAGTTCATGCTATGTTTTGCAGTTGTGCTTAGTGGTATCGTTTAATCTCAGGGTAGGTAGCCCTAGGTAGGCATTGTGCAAGTACTAGAAAACTCAGTCCTGGATTCTGGAATATTAGATAAATAATGAATAATAAACTGAAGGATGGAGATAATAAAATATATTAGTTTTTGGAGTAGTGTACTAATATAAAACCTCTACTGGTAATAGAAGGAGAATGAAAATGCTCTGAGAGAGATTTGTGGCCACCTTTGCTTTATAAAATGTAATCTAGATCTTACATGGATACGGAAGTAGGAAATGGAATAATTTAGAATGAGTCACAGCAACTGATAAATTGAAAGCAAGCAGCAAGAAAGATTGGAAAAATAGAGTTTGTGGCAAGATGTGTGACCTAATTGACTGCAGAATTATAATGGAATAAATGTAGACAGCTGAATTTTTTAGGTTAAAGAACAGAAAAAACAAGGAAGTGAACATTAGAGATAGTAAGTTTTGCCTACACAGGGTGGGTGCTGTTCCAGAAGAGGGATGGCAGTTTTGAGCATGGGGTAGAGAGATTTTAAAGTAAATCCTTAAGATGGAAATAAAATGGCAATAGAAAAAGGATGAAAGATCACAGTGGTGGATTGAGGGTCAGTGATCAAGAAACAGTGGAAGAAAAGAATGCAAAACAAGAACCAATGTTTAATAAAGAGATGGCAGACTTCAGCAAGGTGATCAGTAACTGTGTGGGGAGCCACTGCGCATAGAGAAGAACGAGGGAACAGTTGAAACGTGTTCTGTTGCTCATTCATTCTTATTATAATTTGCTGCATTGCTCACTTTCGTGTCATTCAGAGCCTATTGTAATAAAAATACTTGAATTCGAATGCGTGCATCTGAAGCTTTTCATTCTATGTGTAAAGACAACTACACCAAAATAGAAATGTGTAATACAAATTCTAGTTTTAATTTTATTTTACTGGATTCAAAGGATCAACATCTTTAACTTTGAGATTTGATGAAGATTTGCTGCTCTAGAAATTTACTCTGATACCCTTAGAAAGAGGTTGGCTATTACAGGTGAGATGTCTAATTCGCTACAGTCTCTTGAAAACACCAGTATGCATTGCTACATTTTCCGTCATGCTTATATGCCATTTAGTTTTCCAGTTTTGGGGAAATCCAAATTTTGAGCACATGAAAGTTCACCAATTCATTTTTGAAGAGTGAGTTCTTTTATGTTAGATTGAAGCTTTGGCAAAGAATTTTAAGAAAACTTGCAGTTGCGTCTTTCTTTACTCTTTTGGCAAATAATATGGAACTATTTTCAGCTATTCAGGTTTCTTGGAGTATACTGAAAGAGCTAAAGGTATTTAGACCTCTTCAGGCATCTAGCTTACCTTTTAGCATTTTGATGCTAGTACAGCTTGCATTGTCAGTGATGGGAGATTACTTCATACACTAAGTTGAGGGTTTGTACTAGGGCTAACGGTATTGCAAACTGTGTGGATTTTTTGGTTAGACATCTGCTTTTCTATTTTTTTCTTTCGGATAATCAGTGTCTCTGAACCTCTTTATATGAGAGAATCGATAGTGCTGCAAGCAGTAAAAGAGGTACACTGAGAAAAGTAAGTTTTATGGCAGAGTTCCATGGTTCTCAGCCTTTAGCTACAGTGAAACTAAAAGATATAAATCAATTATGCTGTATTCAATTGTGCTGAAAATCTGTTTTCTTCTACAGTTATTGCAGACTCTCTGTAGTAGGGCTTAATCTGTTGTTCTGGAAATATAACTATGACTGCAGATGTGCCCTGTAAATAGGAAAAATGTGGTTGTCTGTAACTGTTATTTTAAAAATGCATGTTTATTGATATTCAAGCTGATTCAGAAAGAGACGTTTCTTGAGTGAGATCTAACTTTTCACAACAGAAAGAAACTTAGGCTGTAGATTTTCCTTTCTGTCTCTTATAGTGAAGTATTTTACTGCTGTGACTTGCTTACTCTTTGTTATATGCATGCTGCACTCTGAGACAGTTTCTGGGTGTTGGAATTGTTGACGAACTTTTAATGAATCATTCAATGTTCTTGGTTTGTGTTCCTGTATGTTCCTATGTTGTGAATGAAAGGGAATTAAGAGTTACATACTCAGTACTTTTTCCCAAAAGTGAATTTCTTACAGCATGTTCCCTCTAGACCTGGTGTCCGCTGCAGTATAGTGTTAGGATATTAAAGAAACAAAATTATAACTGTTTCCCTGAGACAGCATTTGACAATCATACTCATGTTCAGAAACTTTTTTTTTTTCAGCCTATAATTTTTTTCTTATATTTCTCTTTGTTATCAACTCTAATGCTCTTAAAATTCTTCTCTATCATTAGTGTGTACCGCCTTCAAATGTTCCATCAGATGAATGTTTTTCCTTTCGGTATTTCTTGACCAAAGTAAATATGTAGCTATTTTAATCTTCCTTTGTAAATCATTCTCCAGTCTCTTTATTATTTTTGTTCTTTTTTTTTCTCTGAATTCCATGTAATTTCTCGATATCTTCTGGTATTGAGATGCCTAGGAGTGAATGCAATATTGCAAATATGTAATTACCTCTCCTCTCATTATTCAGAGGTTACATATATTATTGCTGCACATAGCAAATTCATATCTAAATTGCTGTCCACTTGTAGGCTTTTTTCATTATTACTGCATCACAGATTTTTATCTACTGTTTCAGATCTGTTTTTCTAGTATGCACATTGCCAGATGCTGTTCCTTATTCCTTCCTTTCCTTTTCCTTTCCTTTCCTTTCCTTTTTTCCTTCCTGCATTTCCTAATTCTTTTATTTCATTGCTAAACTCCCAAAAGCTGGTATTTCTCTTGCTCTGTCAGGTTATCAAGGTTATCTTGCTTCTTGAGTTTGTTGCCTGTATGACTCTTGGAAAATAATTTTACTTTAATATATATGCTTTTTTTCTGCAAATTTTTAATAACTGCTGCTGCTGCCCTGGGGATTGAGTTTTGAGATTCTCCATCTTGGTTTTGTTAGCCTTCCGAGGTTTGAAAAACCCACTGCCATTATCTCACGTATTTTGTTAAGTGGTCATCAGCACAGAAGCAGCAGTTGCTATGTGTGCATGAATTAATTCATACGTGTGTGTGTGAGTATGTGTTGTGTGTGTATGTATGCATATGCCTACTCATGTATAATGCATTTACCTACTCTTCCATTTAAAACAATGCTATTTACCTGCAGGAGGAGGAAGAAGAAACATATGAGCAAACTCTAGAATTCCGCAGAGGAGGTGATGGTCAGCCAAGACGATCCACACGACCTACTCAACAATTTTATCAACCCCCAAGAGCTAGAAACTGATTAATAAGAAATAAAAGGTAAATATATGATATTGACATTTTATTTATGGGTTTAGATTTCAAGAAAAGTAGATCTGGATTGTTCTATACTTCAGTGTTCTTCAGTCTTTGTGAAGTTTGTGAGAGAACTTTTTACAACTTTGGCAGTAGTTTGTTGTATAAGAACCCTCAGCATTGGGTTGCAGATGATGAATATTTTGAACAAAGAAATTACTGTTATCACCATTTTACAAGCAAATAGAGAACTTAAAATTCCTAGAAAAACCTTGTTTCTCATTAAAAAGAAAAAAAGTATTAAGCAATAGCACATGTATGACCTTCTTTGTTTAATAGTGGTAATCTGTTTATAAGGAGCAAGCACAGAGCAGTGATTGCTACACCTATGGAGAACTATGGATATTAAATCAGTGTCTTATCATTTAAGTGAAAGTTTTATGGTTGTGTCTTTTTAGTTTAGAAACCACTTCTTGCAATCATCTACATGGAAGATATGTTTGGGATATTGCTTCTAAAGTTTTTTAGGGATATTGGTATATTTATGATAGAAGTTGGATATCTCTGTTTCTCTGGATTTTGTGGCTGTATGAAGAGACTTAATACACCTGTGGGAAGAGGGAAGGCAATAAAAACACTTTGGCAAACAGCTTTTTAACTTTGCTTTATGTAAGGACTCAGGTCATCTGAGCAAGCTTTTACTTTATACTTCACCTGAGAGCAGCAGCAAGTTTCTCTCATTCACATACATTGGACCAGCTTCTCTGAAATAAGTGGCTGTAGTCTCTGCTGAACTCAGTACTGTCTGTCTCTGTCCAAGGTCCCATATTCTACTTCTTATGAGCCATTTATGTGAATAAATATTTTTATTGTTTTGCTTAGCATGGAAAGGAGAATTTGCAACAGTAAAATCTGATATCTGTGAGCTCACCGTTGAATGGGGAGGTACAAGGCCTAAGAATATCTACCATACTCTGAATCTTGAGGGTGTACTTGCATCTATGCTTTATTAATTAGCAGAAATGAAGGGATTATGTATCATCCTCAGAAAATACACCTGATGTATACATTCAGAAATCTAAAAAGGCCAGTCAGATAAAACAGTTAGAATTCTTTTACTACACAAACCAAGTGTGCTGTACTGCTTTCATTTTACTTGAGGATCTTCTAAATCCTTAATTTTCAAATGTTGATTAGAAGTCTATCCTGAATAAAGAAAGCTTTGTAAAGTCACATGCTATTTGGTGTACATGTACAATGTGTCTGTCTTGAATCTGATTTTTTTTTTTCCCTACTAGCCAGTTTATTTTTACCGAGCTCCTTTTAGTTCCTTTCCTTGCTCCCGTCCTCCACCTTCAGTTGGCTTAATAGGTGCTGCTGATCTCTGCAGCTTTTGGTATTTCTGACATGCAGTAACGTATGATTTTACTTTTTTGATCATATGGTAAAATACCTTTTTCATTTGGGGGATTACTGACAATATAAGAGCAAAATCTAGTACTGACTCTTGCGAAGGTGATAATTATTCTATTTTTGCACATATCATTCTATTTTCTATTTTAAGTAAGTGTATCAATCACTATCAATAAACATGTCATGAGATAATTTATGCAGAAATAATTCTGGCCTATGCCCTGAGCTGAGTTCTAAACCAGCTCATTTGGCTCAGAGGACTGTCAGTGTGATCAGCCGAACGAAATGTGCCCAGTGTAGACAGCAGTCAAAATCAAGGAGGGTTTTTTGTGTCTTTAGGTAATATTTTTGGTATTTTCGTAGTTTTACAGTATAAATGTGGAAAACTGTGTTTAGCTTTGGTCAGCTGGGAGAGGGGGGAAAACAGACATCCAGAGAGAGTGATAGTAACTTCTGTATCCCAAGAACAGAGGATGAATTGTTGCCAAATAAGGAGCAACCTTTCTAAGGCACAGGTGGTTGTTCCTTGCGGGTTTTCTTACACCTTGCTTTGAAGATTCTAACAGGATCCTGATTTAAATGGACAGCAAACTCGGTGTCAAAACCTACCTGCCATAAAAAATAAACAGTTACAGCCCCAGTTCAAATACTATTGTTTCCTGTCAGACATCTCTAAATAAAGGGTTTAGATTCAGGTCATAAATAGCGTCAGTTAAAGAAACGTAAAAGCATTTGTCAACAAGGAGCAAGGGACTCTCCTCATCCAGAAAAAAAAAAAAAACAAGATATATTTTGGAGAATATGTCACGAAGCTGAATATAATTTTTCAGCAACTACTTACTTTGCTTTAAAAAGTACATCTTTTATTGACAATACTTCCAGATACATGCTTCTTTTTCTTCGTCATAGTTTAAGATTCTCTTCCTCAGTTGATGAAATTGGGTATTTCCTGTGTCCTCTTTTGGCCCAGGACTGTTTACTTGAACATCTGCTCACGTTAGATAGATAGTGCCAATTTGTCATCCAAAACTGAACTTATTAACCCAGTGCAATGTACAATCCGTGGCAGCTTAAACCTGGTAAATTTTGGCTACTTTTGTAAGTCTAACTCTGTTGGAATATTATGCACTTTATCTTCCACAATACATATAGCAAATACTGTAGAAGTTAAACAGCAGTTCATGATGAGAAAATACAACTTACTGCTTGACAGGAAGATTCATTCCCTCTAGATCAAAACATGCAATGCCATCTTCATTAGCTGCCATAACTGAATTGTCTTGAACTTTAATTAAGTGGAAACTATCTCTAAATGGCTCAAATGTAATCAGTTAGAATATTTGTGTATTTTATATTAAAATGATTTGCTAAATCTTGTTATTTTAATTAGCTGCTTTATCAGATTTAGGTTTGTATTTGGAAAATTTCCAGTATTGAGCTCAACCGCACTTCAACATAAAATAATGTAACAGCTATTGGATGTTGACACCAAAATGAAGTTGTCAAGATATGACATTGGTCTTAGATTCTTGAAACACTAGGATCACTCAGGTAGAAAAAGAAAAGAGAGAGGCAAGAGGCGCCTTCTATATAGAGGTTGGGTGGTGCTACGTAAGCATAGTTAGCTCCTGTTTTAGTTCCAGTCAGAACAATCCTTTATTTTGTCTAGAATTTATAATACGGATTTTCTTTCCTCTGCCACTGTGTTCTGGCGAATATTTGGAAAACTGAACATCTTGTTCCTTTCTCTTCAAGAGCGTGGCATTTGCGGTCGTCTCTGAATAGTGTCAAAAAGTGGAAATTCTTCCTCAGTTTAAGAACACTCTATAGCCAATCTTTTTGAGAATAAAAATGTTGTAGTGCTGTATCCAGAAGCTTTTTCTGTGTGGTACAGACGAGCTTTTGCCTGCTAGATTTGCTTTCTGAAGCTCGCGTAGAATCCAGTGCAGCTGCCCTCATTTGTCTTGTTTGATAGGTAAAGTGATGTGTGAGGTGTTGTTTATTGTGATACTGTGGTCATATCTATCAGATAAGCTTATAGCTCCCCATAGCACATCTCATGCTACCATGTATCTTATACTTAGGTTGCATTTTGAAATGCATTACACTTGACCTAATGAGGTCCTGGCTGAAGACAGTGGAATTAGAGAGAAACGGTAATGAAGATCTATTAAGCTTTTCCAAAAATAAGTGGTGGATGTAATCAGTTCTTCTCTGGTTTTAAATGTAGGCAGAAAATCAAACATAGTCCTTTTCTAAATTGCTTTCGGCTTACCCAGACTTGTACAACAGTGTAGCTTTAATGTCTTGACATGTAAAAGTTCAGGAATATTGACTGTCAGTTCCTAGAAGTGGTTTTCTATACATTTTTCCTCCTTTTTATTCCTTAGAGCTTTTGAGAGTATGGCATATTGTTCTTATTTCAAGTTTTTGATAACCTGTTAGATGAAGACATGATTTTTCAGGGGAAGTTTTAAGGGATCCAGTGAGACATAATTTTACCACAACTTTCCACTGAAGGATAATTTACTTCTTCACCAGATCATTGATTAATGACACCTTTACTCCCTGAGAGGGCGTACCTCTGTATTATGTAAAGTAAATTAATTTTTTTTCCTGAAAAGAAATGGAGAGCCCTTATTGATGATTATTTTATATAATAAATTGGTAAATTCTGTAGAATTTTAATACTGTAGTATTTAACATTTAAAATGCCAAGGTGTCTTGTTTTCAAAGGCAACTTAAGCAACTGTAGAAGTAAAGTTTGCTGGCCATATTTGTATTGAGTATGATAGGGCACGTATCAAAGATGAAACATTAGGTCCATACAGTAGACATATCACCTCAGACCCAAAAGCTCTTAGACCTACCTGTATAATGTTACATCACTTGTCAGGGAGGATTTATTAGCACTGGTACAACAATGCAGAAATGAAGCTATACTGCTTCCTAGATTAGTTTTCAGCATACTTAGGTGTTGAAGTTGCCCTTGCAAATCTGGAATTAGTATTGACAAATATCAGCTCATAATCTATGTCTACAGTGTAATGGGGCCTTAAGTGTGAGGAGGCTTAAGTTTTTAAAATCCTGATTCGTTTTTTAGAAGTGGAATTTGGATCCGTGGGGTTGTTTAGCCTGGAGAAGAGAAGGCTCCAGGGAGACCTTACTGCAGCCTTTCAGTACTTAAAAGGGGGTTATAAGAAAGGTAGGGATAGACTTTTGAGCAGGGTCTGTTGCGACAGGACAAGGGATAATGGTTTTAAACTAAAAGAGGGTAGATTTAGACTAGATATAAGGAAGAAATTTTTTACGATGAGGGTGGTGAAACACTGGCACAAGTTGCCCAGAGAGGTGGTAGATGCCCCATCCCTGGAAACATGGAAGGTCATGTTGGAAGGGGCTCTGAGCAGCCTGATCTAGTTGAAGATGTGCGTGTTCATTTCAGGGGCATTGGACTAGGTGATCTTTAATGGTCTATTGCAACCCAAACCGTTCTATGATTCTATCCTTCTGAAGAGCTGCTTGCCACACTGTTCTATGCTTCGGGTATTAAGAACAGTTGCTGCAGACTTGCAGGAAGTCTTGACCTGGTGTTTATTATGAAGACAGAGTGATAGATTAGTCATGTTAAGGTGAGGTAACAGAAGTATAGGGTAGTCAGTACCTCACTGTGGTTGCAGTTTACCTAGAAATGATCATTTATTAATATCCAGCAGTGTGAGGTAGAGAACACTAACTCAGAACTTTATCAGAGCATTGCCTTGAGAGCCCTTGAACCCATTGTTGGTTGTTTAGGGTACAAGTCAAATACTAGCTTTAACAGGTCTGTAAAATAAGATTCCTCCTAGAGAATCAAGATAGAAGAATTACAACCTAACAATAATAAAAATACATCCTGAGCTTACACTTCCTGCATAAAATGTCATGATAGTATGAAAAAGAAGGGGAACAAGGAATCAGAAACAAGTGTTTTGAAGGATCATAGCTTTTGGAGAAGCTTGAAAGAACCTAGGAGTGTGAACCTATGAGTGCCTGGTCATTATCTGTTTCTTGGGTTTTCCTTTGCTCCATGACAGAATTAATCTACATCTTGTCAAACTTGCTATAAAATCTGTATTGAAGTCCTTACCGATGGAGAAACTTCATTTTTGTGAGAAGTCATTGCCAGAAAGCGTTCTTTCCTTGTATTATACCAATCATACTTATTGCATTGAAGTGCAACCTTCTGATTTATTCTTTTAAAGACTTGTATCTCTGTAAGTACTGAAAAGCAGATATCCACTCTTTTGGAGGAAGAAAATGAAATAACAGTTAAGTGTATGTTGCACAAAGAGCAGAGAGTTTTTATGCTTATCTATTGTGTTGGTTTTGTGTTTTTTTTTTTTCATTTAGAAACCTTCTCGGGGTGGGGGGAAATTCACTGATTCACTGGCAGCTCCAACTTGTTGAAGACTTCTAGAAGAAATTCTGGCTTTTTCCAAGCAACAGGATGGAACAAAGACAGCTCATGTGAGCAGAAGGAATTTGGTCCTGGCACCACAAGAGACTTTTTTAAAGTTCTTAGTTACATGAAGCTGAATACTTTTTACATATGAAAGAGGCAAATTGTCATTGCTGCCATCAATAAAACCACAGTGCACTATTCTATTCTTTGCCTTGTATTCTTTTTACTGAACCTCCATTATTACTTAATATAATACTGATGTATCATGATTTTTATTAATTTTGAATTGATTTTGGTTCTAATATTGTTTCTAGTAAAGTAAAAGTAAAACTTATATTTTCTCAAAAGCAGACAGGATTGGGCCTTTAATTTAGATTTTAGACTAGCATTAGTGAAACATGTTAAAAATTTTCAGCTAATTATTGTACAGTGAAATTCTGAATAGGTTTTGACTGTGTTTTCTGTGTTTATTTCCCAAAGTTGCTGAAGGCCAAATTACAGATTTGCCTATTATGTTTTTCATGATCTGTGACTAAAAGGTCGAAGGGGAGAAAAAAAAAAATCATCAGTTTCATAGTCATTTTCTAAATAATTTTAGGTAAATATTTTCTTTTTAGGAATATTTATATTACAGAAATAGAAACATTTCTAGAAGGTACAGGAAAGTAGTTTAAACAAAAAGTACCGAAAGATGCATATGAGTATTTTAAACGTAAATATGTGTATACATGCACACATGTGCAACCTGTTGAATAGTAGGTTCTTTCTTGTAGTTTTAAACTCTGCTTTTATTGCTTCGTATTATTAGAATTTTTTTCAATTATCATTGATGCTTGAAAGAATCTTATGTCAAACTACTTTTCATTCTAAGCTGTATCTTTGAATCTTATGTGATTATGACAAATAGTTGAAATTCCGCTATTTCTTTAGCTGAGAAGCACTCAAGATCTATGTACCATGCAAATCCCTTCTAAGCTTTATTCTAATCATTTAGTTAAGACTGAAATAGCACATGTTTTGAGGTAATTCTGTAAAGACAGAATTTTACCCGAGATATGTATTGATGGTATAAGTTGTACAATTAATTCTACGGACCTTCTCTCTGAGTGCTCATACAAAACTCTGTTTGGATAGAACCTGGTTTATTTGGATGAAAAGAAGTTTTATATTGATGATGTAATTGAATGTATTTGCAATACATAATGTGGATTACTGTCCGAATGCAGTCAAATCTTAGCAAGCACATAAATATTTGCAGAATAGTAAGGAACCAAATGTTTTGCTGCCTCAATGGATCCTAAGCAGCTTCTTGAGAATTATAATGCAACTCAGTAATAATTCTAAAGAAATTTGGAAGCTTAAAACATGAGCTGTTCAATGTTGAAGTTCTTCACTATCAACTGACGCACAACAAATTTTATGAAGTTTGTTAGATTTAAGTTAGAAACCACTTTCCAAATACTATGAATAATTCTGGTCAGTTCTGCTAAATTGTACCAGCAAATAAATAAATTGTAGATCTAATACATTGGATGTTGGATGCTTTACTTCCAGAATTATCACTAAGACCACTGATAGCAGCTATTCAGCTTCATTAAGTGATGCAGCCATAACATCATTTTAAAAAGCAGTTTTGATTTTTCTTTACAAATAGACTGTGCATTAAATGAGAGCCCTACAACCAGTGTACCAAAGCAATTTCTGAAATTAAAATAACTTTTATGTTCTTTTGAGCTTTCATTCTTGCTGTGAACTGAATCATAAAATTCAGATAACTGCAGCCTGATTTAGTGAACTGTAAAAAATAAAGCCTACTTATGAAAATTTGAAGAAATACAATGCAGCATTCCTCTGTAGTGATTGTGGCATTCTGAAATTACCACATGCAGTTGTCTGTAGGCAAATGAAATATATTTGAGAAAGTTGTTTTTGTTTCTAAAACAGTAAAGACCATGTCCTGGTCTTTTCATTCGTGCTGAGGAACTGGAAAGCCAGAGTAAGCAAACAGCTGGAGAGTGTCCTTGAAAAGACGTGTTATCTTTGTGTGTTTTATGATTCTTTTCTGTTTTGGTTTGGACTGAAAAAACTTCTTTTGAAAGCTCTGCCTGTTTAGGATCTGAAGAACCAGTGATTTGAACAGATAAAAACTATTTGCGTCAACCTGTTCTGAAAAGCAAGAATTCAAATATTCATGCTCATTGATTCCTATATCTGGAAACAACATGATGATAAACTAGGTATGTATATAAATTATTTTCTTGATTTGCATAATCCATCAAAACCACAAATATAATAATTTTCCAGTCGTAATATAGTACAGTTTACATACACAAAAGCATTAATTTATTTAGCATTTATGTTCAGAAAAAGTTATCACGACTAGGTAGGTCTTCAAAACTGATGTAAAAGTTAACTTCTAATTTGTCAAAAGCAACAGCAAAAGCAAGCTCCTGAACTTTGTGGGACTATATCTGTGTAGTTAAACAAAAAAGGCTGGTAAGGAGCCCTGGATCCTGATCATTCATGCTATTTATTTACTAGCTTGATTTCTGACTCTATTTTGAAGTGTTCTTGACTAGCTGTTTCTAAGACAAACATGTCACAAAGAAACTTTGCCCTTTGTAAGCCAAGCTGGACATGAGCCAATCTGTGCCTCTTGACCAGTAGGTCCCTGGTCTGTGGCCCTCCTTTACTAGGGTTATAGATATAGCTTATGAGAATTTCTGTCTTGAATTTTAGGAATGCAATTCTAATGAGATGTTTTCCTTGCCATGGACTTCTGTATAATATTTTTACCAAAAGGAAACTAAAAAAATGTTAGAATTTCTGATTTAAATTATTCTAAAAGTTATGTGCCAAGTTGGTAGTACTATCATTGAATAATTTGGGGTTTTTTCCCTTTATATTGTTGAGATATAAAATCATTTTGAAACAAAGAATGGAAATGTTCTCGTTTTATTTTACATGTTTTCAGAGTTTTGTAACAAAATATCAATATCTTTATTGATATTTGATTTTTAATATATCTTGTTCAATATCTTTATCAATGATCT